CAACACCACACCGGTCTCTGGTGCGTCACGCTCGGCGGGCTGGTCGCCCGACGTATGCTCTGTCTGATGGCCTGAATCGCCACAGAGAAATACTGCTTGAGTCGCCAGACGTATTAAGGTCGGGTGGAGTCTAAGTGACGACGGAATGTCCAGGGTGTAGCGCCACCCACAACCTTGGTTACTTGGAGGGAGCCGATGAAGCGTGGAGCACGCTTGTTGGCGCCCAGGTTGGTTACGGCAGAAGAGCGGATTTCCTCGGTCGATTGAAGAACGCGGCCTCTCATCTTGAATACATTCACGCTCTTTCGACCTTGCCTAAATACTTGTTTCTTTTGCTTGTCCACTGCATTATGCAGTGCGTCGCAGACGAACCTTGAGATGGATTGTCTCAGCATGACGAATTTCGCAACTGCCGAGCGATCGGTAGGAAGCACCGAAGAATTATGTGTACATTTGGTCGTGGTAACGTCCTGCTCGCGAGCCGTGCTGCCTGGATGATCAAGCTCTGCGATGTTCATCTCGTGATCGGAGATGCGGTACGTCGACGAGACTCGATAATATGATTGGACGGGGAGCAGGTCAAGGATTTCACATTTTGTCACACTGTCTATGCCCGACGCTAACTCGAAAGTAGAGTGTGCTGGCGGGCCTGTTGACACCGGTGCGCGCTGAGACACCGGCTCGCGTGACGATGGGCACAACGATACTGGCTCGTTGTCTGCATGACTGACCGCAGCTCCAGCTTTCATGTCGACTGAAGGAGATCCTTCCCCACTAGGAGGGGGGAGCCGCCAGCATCCGTGGGATGTCCCACGGCGGGAAGTGCCGGGACACGTGGGTGGCGAGCGCTATTCACGAAGAAAGGCGTCATGCCCGTCGAGGAGTGCTCGGCGCTACTGAGTTCTAATTCGGCTAGTGGTAGGGACGAGCTCCAGCTCGTGTACGAAGTCGCGTAGCTGCGGAGAACGCCTTCAATAACTCAGTTAACGCGTTCGGTTTGTCCATCTATCTTCGGATGCGCCACGGTCGACATCAGCAGTTTAGTTCCCAAGAGCTCGAAGATACGTGACCGGAACGTGGATGTACAACGCGGGTCGCGGTCGGATTCGATAGACTCCGGCAGGCCGTGGTGACGAAATATAGCGTCGACAAAGTGGACCGCGGACTCTTCCGCGGTGGTCGAGGCACAGGAACGAGACGGACCATTTTGCTGAAACGATCGACGAACACAAGTACACCTGTGCGCCCGGCTGTCAGATATCCGTGGCGACCGGAAGAGGGCGCAATGAGGCCTGAGGCGTCGAAGACGGCTCGACCTGTTGATAACTTTCATATGTGCGGGTCCACTGGCGTACCCACTTGTACATGTGGGACCAAGAGAAGTCTCTCGATAGAGCCGTGTACGTCTTCTCGCGACCGAGATATCTTCCAGTAGGGGCGTCATGGTACTCGTTGCTTATACGCGCACGTAGATCAGCGTCGTTTGGGACGACGACTCGAGGTCCATCGAACCGGTCGATGCTGAACTTCAGCAGATTGCCGTCCAGCCGATACCGGTCGATCTGATTGCGCGTGGCCCTAGCTTGACATGACACTTAGCGTGTCGCTACTGGGAGCGCAGGTGCTTCAAGATAGCACCGTTATTGGGGTCAGCATCGTATGCTGCTGCAATCTCGTCGCCCAGCGGGAGCGTAGGCGTGGTCAGCGTCAGGCTCATACCTGACGAGTGTGCAGACCGCACACTCGTCATCATCCTCATCAGCCACCTGATGGCCTAGCGCTTTACGGAGATCGTTGCCCGGGCGCCGAGACCGATTGTCGATGCGAATGGTATTATATCGGCTGGCTTGTAGTGAGCGACGAGATTGTACTTGGAGAAGAAGGACAGCTAACGGGTCAACCGTTACGACAAATGAGGATTCTTCATCGCCATCCGCAGCGATGCGTGATCAGTGTAAGCCGCAAATGACTGCTCACCAAGCAAATACACTCTGAATTTGATCAGAGCGTATCGCAGTGCCAGGAGCTCCTTGCTCTGGACTGGGTAGTTCTTTTTGGCTGGCTCAGATGTCGCGAGTGATAGCTGATAACGTGTTCATGTTTGTCACCGTCTAACTGCATCAGCGCATAGCCGATGGCAAAAGTGCTTGCGTCGCAGACGACGTGGAATGGCTTCGAGTCATCAGCAAGCTTTAAGAACGACGTAGACACCAAGTTAGCTTTCACCGAGTCAAATGCAGCTTGGTGCTCCGATTTCTACTCCCAAATCACGTCCTTCTTTAGTAGCGAAGCCAGCAGTTGAATCTACTCAGCGTAGTTCTTCGTGTACTTGGGTAGATAATTGGCCATGTCAAGTCACTGACGCAACTCAGTGGGGCTTCTTGGCGTTGGACAAGCACAGATAGACGAGACTTTCTCAGGGTCCGTGCGCTCACCGTTCTTGCTCACGTAGCATCCCAAAACCGGAATCTCTGGTGGACAAAAGACACATATCTTCAGGTTCGCGTCGAGTTTGTTCTCTCGCATAACCTGGAATGCTTACCTCGGGTGTTTAGGCGGTACTTCCACGGCACTGAGGTTGCCCTCAGCGCGGCTGTACACGAAGATGTCGTCGCAGTAATTCGAAGCAAAGTCTCGGAGCGGACGAAGCACATGGGAGACCATGCGATTGAAGGTAGCAGGCGCGTTCTTCGGACTCTGGCATCATGAGCCCCTCCCAGGGTATCCCACTCAGTGTACTCACGGAAGTGAGAGATACATCACATGCTCTCATCAGGATATAATAAAATCCATCGATCAGGTCGATGGTGCTGTAGATAAAACTGCCAGCCATGGCGTCCAGTATCATGCCCTTCCGAGGGATCAGAGTCTGCGCGGGAATGGTGGCATCATTCCATTTGTTGAATACGTGGCGCGGGAATGGTGGCATCATTCCATTTGTTGAATACGTGGACAATGCGCCATCCCTCTGTATACACAGAAGGTTGGCATTAGATGGGGCGAGGTACTCTTGCGCACGTGACCTGCCTTTCGGCGGCCCTTGAAGAAGTCGTCTGTCGCTTTTACGTGATCACGGGGAAGTGGTCATTGTCTGGTGACGCAATATTTCATCCCTGGTGCAATGTCGATCTCGTGTTCAACACCTCGATCCGCCGGTAGCTCGGCGGGGATCTTACCCGGAAAGACGTGGGCATACTCGCAGGTGGTGCCGTATACGGGATTGTCTGGTTCTTGCAAGTTCTTCCAGGACTCTGTTTGGAATCATATCTCGCTAGCCGTCTTAGGATTGGCACCTTGCGGACGTGAGCGCTTATAAGAACGAGCCTGTAAGTCGAGGGTCCCAGAACCTTCTCGATAGGAAATAAACCCAATCCCTTCGGTAGCAGCTTGGTTACCGTTCGATCTCGTTCAGGGTCGCAATCTTGACGAGTTATGCGATTGACTTGTAGGAGTCGAGCCTTGACGAAGACAAAAATAACCAATATTGAAACGTACATCACTGCGACCTTGATCATATTATTGTCGCTGGCGTTCTTGGTCTTGAGCGAGGTGATGTGGGGCTGCCTCCATGGCTTCGAAGCGGGTATTTACGAAGGACGACTGATCTGTTGTAGCCCATAGCAAGGGAATAGGGCGGCGTCTCGTGTCGACCTCCGAGCTGCGTCCAGCTCAAGTGTTGATTCCAGTAGCTTGAGCGAACTCAACACAGGGAAGCCGAATAGGCATATCATCACCATAATGAGAGACTGAGCATCGAAGTGCATCCTCGAGCGTCCGGATCTGGCGTTCATTTTGTCCGTCCGTTTGTGCGCGATGTGAGACCGTCATCTTTAGCTCAATCGGTTTATACTGCGTAATAGACGTCCAAAGATCGTTTAGAAATTTCGGGTCTCTCTCGGACGCGATGGGGCGTGGTGTACCAAGGATCAACCCAATGTTGGTAAAGAAAAGCTGAGCGAGCAGCTGCGTCCTTCCTGGTAGGCTAATGTCGTGCCCGCTTGCTCAGATGACATACTACGACGAGATCGCGCCGATCCCCTTCGAAAGTAATAATTCAATCACGAAATCCATTGCAATATTAGTCCAGCTAGTTTTAGAAAATTGTAGCGGCTGGAGTAATCCACGTCGGCGATCTCCAGACTTGTTCCGCGAGCATGTTTCACATGCTCCGATGTACGCGTCGATCGTTACCCGCATACCTTTCCACATGAAGAGCTGCCCTACAGCCATACTTTTTTCCACGGCTCCGCCATGAGCCGCCAACGCGTTGTCGTGGTAATCTACCAGCACATCCAGCAGTAATCGGCCATCCTGAGGCAAGCTAACTCGGCTGCCTTCTCGTTAGGTGTTCTCTGAGAGACTGCAACGAAACTTCCACTGCTAACCCACTCTCGCTAGGAACAAGGTACATGAGCTCGTCTTCTTCTGTACGCCAAATAAGCCGTATAGGCGTGCTCTGCACGAGGTTTTGCCGGCCAGGTGCCCACGACAGTGAGCGAGACGCCAGCCGATGTTAGGGTCACTGGCTACTAGCCTTAGACGTCCTAGTATCCCGTCGTAGTCGTACTGGAGCTGTCACAAGACGAATGGTACTATCACGACTGAGCTGCGGCATGTCACCTCAATATCGGTGATGGGTAATGTGTCGCTATCATTAAACCCACGGGCAACCAATGATGTCGTCGACGCTGTAGACGTGTCAAATCCGATTCCTGATAGAGCCTAATGAGATGTTCCAGAATCGATGAGCATGGAGCATTGACAGTCCATATAATTACCGTCACCAAGAAGGGTCTCGTTGACCTCGCTTCACGTGGCGTGGTTGTCATTTCCGAAGTCGATATTTCTGCCATCTCGCCAAGGGTAGTGTCCATATGGACGGTAGGATATTCTGGCACAACGTCGCTCGACGGATACTCCGTTTACATACGCAAAGCTGACCCGTTTCCCTGATTTTGACTCCCACGTTTCGCCTTGCGTTGAGGACACTGACCAATTTTATGGCCGCTGTTCTTACAGTAGCAGCACAGGTTCTGACATCTGCTATGCTCCTTGGACATTGGACGTGTGTCTACCGTCGAGATGTCCATCAATGCAGGACCGTCAGGTGCTGCCCGATTGGAACTTGCACGATGATAGGAGCTACCAGAACGGCTTTAATCCGAGTGAGGCTGGAAGTACGTGGGCTCGAGAAATTTAGCAGCCGCAATAGCTTCTTCCAGCGTGCCACATTGTAAATATATCACCTCCTTGCGTTTTCCAGACTTGGGGTGTCACATATTCGATCAGCTTGATCCATAGCGCTCAATTCGTGAATCTGCGCCATCGGCCGATGGAAATACGAACGTTATCTTCCACCGGGCCACGTTGGGGACAAGCTTTATGCTCCGCGCGCAGACGGAACTGTTGATCCGGTGTATTAAACTCTCGACGAATAGCGTCTACGAGGTTATCGACGGTGTCGAGTTGGATCTGATAAATTACCACTTGTGCATGGTACCATGACGCGGTTCTTTCGCGCGAATTAGCTGCCAAAATGGCAACTACGTGTTGCTGATTAGTGATTGCTGTGTCGTCAATACACTTGCCCTCTATGAAAAGTTTAGCTCGGAATATAAAGTCGTCGATCGATTATGAGGGATTACCGCTGAACGCTGGCATAAAAACGCCTTCCAGTCGATACTCACGAGGCGGTTGAGGAACAGGTACTTGTGGATGCAGCTGTTGCTAATATCCATGCTGCTGGGCTTGGAACGCTTAGTACATTTGCGTGTTTTGCTGGCTGAGGTCCACAGCAATACGGTCGATGACTTAGGCAAATTGCTCAAACGAGTTTAGCGTCCCCAGCTGGCATCTGGCAAGCGTTTCTAGGTTCTTCCATTGCGAAGCAGGCCAACAGGTACAGACATGGTAGCTGTCAAAGCAGAGCCAGCGAGCAGTTCAGCGAGTGATTTCGGAAGATTGTAGGCAGATAGTATCGACGCCAGAGAGGATTGAGATGTGTCGCAACCCTCACATACACAGAAGAATAAAGTGCTACCAATTGGAATGAACCACTTGAGGTCGCCTGAGTGAAACACAGAATTTTATTGAATTCAGGTTAGATGCTAGCACCAAATACCTATCGCTAGCCCGGTGGCGACATCTATAGAGACACGGAGGCGCACCAAATACAAGTCCAGCAGAAGTCAGGTTGAGCCTGGCTGTGCAGCATGAGGTGACCTGGATCTGAGACGAGCTCGGCATGGTCACGTCACCATGCATTTGGACAGATTCTAGAATCCGTCTAGCACTGACGCCACGTCGACCGTAGGCCATTACACCATGTGTCGTCTACTTCTACGCTTTTTCCCGCTCACAGCTATCGGGACGACTCTGCAGTGGATAGGAAACAACGGCATCATTAAGTCCCATACTGGTTTAAGGTAGTCTGCGGCTTCAGCAACTCGTTTTCTAAGCTGCCCGTAGGGCGCATTGGGGCACTGTGTGACGAAGCATATGGCCCTTTTTAAACGTGTTTTACCCTTTTCATATCGCTATTTCTAATAAGAAATTGAAGAGCTAAAATGTTTTTTTAATTCTGACAAGTTATATTAAAATCACCACCCTTTTGTCCTTTTCACTGAAAAGGACAAAAAGGGAAGTACTTGGACGCTAAATCGACCGTTATAACGGGATTTTGTTCTATTTACCCTAATATTATTTTTATGATTCCCTCACCTTACCGTATAATAATTAGACCGAGCACATCGATCGCTGTATCTCCACTATCGTGTGCATTAATCTGTGACCACGCGCATATTGCGATCGTTGAAGGCGTTGATCCTAGAGCTGGTAGATTTAATCAAAATACTTAGGCCGTGTTCGTGATGCCAAGAAAATCGTGATTTAGGCGTCATAATGGGATTATAGACGAAAATTGCAACCGTGAACACAGCGAAAGCGAAATCGTATTATGGCCTCATAATCGGATTATCCAGAGCGTTTCGTAAAACAGGTCTACCTCTGTATTTTAAGCAAAATCATGATTCTACTCGGAGTGTTACTAACACGGAGTGTCACTGATAAGGGGGTTTCCTCTGCAGCTTTCTTGCAGTTGACCATGTCGAAGAACACAAGCAAGACGAAGAAGATTATGACGGTCAGTTTGTCAAGAAGCCCCAGGGCAGCAAGTCTAAAGGGACCAATACCAATGCGGCCAAGGAGAAGATCTCAGAAGAGGGACAGCGTGCTACTCGAGCTGAAATTCAGGAGTTTGACCTGTTAAACAAGTTCTTCGATGCTCGCAACGCACGTTAGCTCGCGACGGACAAAGGGATCAAAAGCAAGGCCTGGAACATGCTCGTAGCAGAGTTGAACACGATGCACAAGCGCGAGTTGAGAAAAGGTAATTGCATTCAATGCATGCACATGTAGCAGTGATGCTAACGCGAGCTGTTGTGCCAGACCAGTACAAGTCAAAGTTCGCGAGGCTGCTGCACGACTACGACCTGTACAAGCACATTCGCAGCTTGAGTGGAGCCGGTATTTGATACGGACACAACTCCAACGCTTGATGACGATGTCTGGGAGCGTTTGATGGCGTCTAAGCCTCAAGACAAGAGCAAGATTAAAGAAATCAAGAAGGCTGGCTTCGTGCGCGCAGCGGTTTGGTGTCTAATAGCAGGTAATTAGACGAGTTCTGAGCTCTATGTAATGTTGAAGCTTGACAGGCTTCAATGTGCAGGAGATACCCGTGCAAACGGCAAGGATGCTCGTACAGTGCCTGAACTCGTAGTTGAACTTGATGAAGCTGATGCTCAAGATGCTGGAGAGAGCCCTGGTCGCGCTTCTACCCCTAAATAATCTAATTCTAGCTCCGATTAGGATTATGATAAGCTTGAAAGCGACAACAAAACGGACACGCCAACGACGGAGAGCTCACGTAAGACATCGCCAAAACCGCCCAGCCACGAGCAACGTGTGGGGAAAGTCACGCGCATTCGTGGCGGGTCGCATGAAAACTACCGCGCAAAGAAGAGGGCCAACACCGGCGACGCGGTGGCGAGCAAACTGGATTCGCTACTTAACCCAATGAACGCCGTAATCTGTATAATACGTAATATGACATGATGCAGATTTAAATGAATCAACAGCTTGGACGCGGCGTCGTTCAGGCTACTACACCGCATATATAAGTTTGTATAGACCACCATGGGAGTTTTTATCATTACCGATCGGCGAGGGGGAGATAGAAAGGTATTATTCGAAACACATACAAAATCCGATATAAACGGCCTAGAGGTTTGAAAATTCTAATGCAAGCCCTTTAGCGCCTTTTCTGCCCAAAACCTCCACCACTCAACCAAAAATGCCGGAAACGATCGACAGGAAGGAGTTCAAGCGTCTGTGGGGGTCGCTAAAAAAGGCTGGTTGGCGGGCAAGACCCCCTTCAGGCCTCCTCTCCGATCATGCGTATCTCAAGCCTGGCGTGAAAGGTAAGCTAGACAACTACAAGGCTGACACTGATTACTTTATCGGTACGTTGTGTTTAGCAGTAATAACTACTCCCTCTAACCCTGTGTGGTGTAGGTCCCAAGCCTTTGTGGAAGTTTGCTCTGCGTGAGGGTCTAGTACCTTTCCCCCCTCAACAATGTATGATACGTCCGATGAGGCCTCCAATGGGGAAGCTTGCAGCGTACACAGCAGCCAAACGACAAGAACCAATTCCCCCCACCACAAGTGACGGCAACTTGGACCGTCAGTATTCTCCATCCCGCTCAGAGCATCAAAATACTGTCGACGTTACTACGGAGGATACAGAACAAGTCCGACCGATTGGTGATGATATTGCAGAGGATACAGAACAAGATCGGTCCTCCGTTTGTGTTACTACTGAGGATACAGAACAAGTTCAGCCGGTTCGTGTGGCTATTGCCAAGGATACAGAACAAGCGAGGTCGATTGTAGATGATACAGAAGAAAGCCACTTCGTCGAAAATACTGGTACCGCTGGTACAGATCAAGAGCTATCAGTTGTTGAATGTATTCCGGAGGCTACAGAACAAGCTGGACCAGCGGGTGTTCATATTCTGTCGGATACCGAATTTGACGACACGGCATCCGTGGGTCACGGCAAAGAAAAATCGAAACGTGGCAGTGGTGTTGCGAATGGCTTGGATGAATTTAATTGTGATAGCTATATGGATGCGTAACGTGGAGAGCTGCTCTTTGATAAGATTGATCCTGCAGATATCAACGTTGGATATGGATCCGCAAGTGATGTTAGTAGCGAGTTGGGTACTGAGGAAGAGCTGGACGTTCCTGCGGAGCCTGAATCAGTGTATGAAAGCGAGGTAGATTCTGACAGCGACTTTGATGACGACTCCAGCGCGTTCCTGCAAGACGACACCAATATGCGTCAGCTCACAGCCACAGGTTGGGATATATACGATGAGTATCATTCCGGTAAGTGCAGCACATACAGAATTGCGGATCATATCAAAATCTAATTCTGTATTTTACTGAATACAGGTGATGTGGTGTTAGATGCAGCGGAGTTGTACGACGGAAGTTTTGGTCCCACCAGATCTGCCGCTGCGTTCGCCGAGTCTCCTTTGGGAATTTTCCTCTATTTTCTTCCCAAGAAGATGTGGTTTGCGTTTGCAAAGGAGCCTAACGCGTATCGAGAGGAGTGTATTCCTGCTGTGGCGAAGGCGCAACGAGACAAGCAGCTACAGGCTCAGCGCAGGGATCCTGTGAAGTCGGTTCAACCTCTTGAAGTCTTAGAAGAGAAGCTGCGCAATGTGAAGCCAATTCAAGCACATGAAATTCTCCACGTGATTGGCCTTCTGATTGCTCGTACACTCTGTGGTCATACGGATGGCTTGGAAAAGCACTGGGCGACGCGGGAGGACGGTGCAGTACCACGCGGTACCTTCTCCAGATACATGAAACGTGAAAGATTCCGGTTAGTTACCAGGTACTTGCACTTCATCAAAAACGACCCTGCTGCCGCAGCCACAGACAAGGCTTGGAAAGTTCGGCCCATTCTTCAGGTTCTTGAAAAAACGTTTCGTCGTGGCTATCGGCTAGGGCCTCGCATCCGTTTTGATGAAGGAACCATTCCTAACAGAAGCAAGTTCAACCCTGTGCGCGTCTATAATAAGGAGAAGCCTCACAAGTACGGGACTAACGTGTACATGACGTGCTGCGCGGAGACCGGATACTGTACTCGGTAGGTGGTTCACTGTATTCT